ATTTACACATGGGAATGTAAGTATATATTTTTATATAAAAAAAAAAGAACACCTTTTTCTTTTGACAGGAAAAAAGAGAAACTTTTTTTTTTAACTTTTCTACCTACCAAAATCTTGGAACTTGTTTGCTAACAAGAGTCAATTTCTCTCTTTGAATGGGAACTCATAATAATCTTCACCATTGTTATCGCATCTATGATCTGTTCTCTCCCGCGGGCTGGTCATTTGTCTCTGGTATTATGTTTTTTTTTTTTTTTAATTTTTCTCTCTTTTATCATTTGTCTCTAGTATGATCTATTTTGATCTTTCGTTTCTGAGGTAATTTGTTCTGGGTAGTTCTTTGTTTCTTAAAAGTTTGCCACTTTGTTTCAAATATGGAGAGTGATCGTGTTGATTCCGAAGCTGGTTATTAGGGTTGTTTATCATTTCTTTGTTATATTTTACTTGCTAATTCTGGTTATTTGCTTCCCTAGATTTCAATTCTTTCTTGTTTTTCCCCTTGTGGAGTATGCTTTCCTTTTCATTAATTGTTCTGAATTCTGCCTAGTGGATGTAAATTTTAATGAAGTTTATTGGAAATTTGAGGAAATTCAGGCCACTGCATCAGCAATTTGTTTAAAATGAAGTTTATTGGCTTTGGTTTCATTCATAGAAGCTATAAATGTTTTTCAAATATAAACTAGATAATTGTATTCAAGTTATGCAATCAGATATCCTGACCTGTGATGGTCTTAATTGGGGTTCACTAGCCACTAGATTTCTTCTATATATTCTAGTTGCTTGACTGATTGGAGTAGAAACAAAATCTGTATTGACGTAATTGCATGCAGAAGCATTTCGTTTCAATTGCGGGTAAATAAGAACATTTCACTTATGGACTGTCATTCCTACTTACGAAGGATCGCTAGTGTTCTTTTAAGAAGGATCACTTATTTTTCTGTTGATATCTTGAAATCCAGGAATATTTCTGTTGCCATATTTGTAACAACTTGGAGTTATATATTCATTATAGAATAAGAGAACATTTAGAGCTCTTTCTCCCTTATTGTCAGACTCTTATGTAGTTAGTCTTCTACTCTTAGTTCTATATTCTGTCTATTTATGAATACCCATCTACCAATTTCTTCGGTTTAATGACAAGATCAATACATAGTAATATTTTATTTTGTTCTTTTGTATGATATCAAGTATAGTGTTCTTTTTAGCCATCTATAATGAAAAGGAAGAAAAAAAAACTATCTCATTATCAACTTTGTCTTTCAGAACCCGTATTCCTTCATCTCTTTCCTTAAAGACAATCCTCCAAGACAAATATTTTCGTCTAGGAAGCATGGTTTTAAAAGAAAAAAAGAAAAAGAGTTACTACTCTTCATAAAAGAAATGCCAGTTATTTTCTATTTGACCCTTCAATTCCCCACAAAAATCTGATTTCACTTTACACAAACGAACTTGTTTAAGAGTACTTTCCTTGGTCATTAACTTAAGATTTTCCTCCATTGTTGGTGGCTTGTTTGCCTGAGATCCCATCAATGGGAATTTTCTCATGTGCGGCTAATCTTTGGCACATGAATTCCTTTTGCTTACGAAGTTACTTTGTCTGCGGCAAGTATATAATTTAATAACTGAGTTGTGTAGGTTTTGAGGTTCATTGTTGAGGCTATAGGGTGATTTCTATATTAGTTCATGTTTCTGCTGTTGTTAATCTGGCTTTACTGGTTATGTTCAGTGAAGCTGCACAAATTCTAGGAATGATATGGGACAGAGTTGTTTTGTCTATTGAGAGAGTGTATGAGATTTAGTTGTTCGGAAAGAACTATCTCAGTGAAGGAGGGCTAGTTGCCACAACAATTTTAAAAAAAACAGATGCCATAAATTATTGCTATCCAACTCACAATTGCTTCTTGTTCACTGGAATTGGCAAAATATTTGCCAAAGTTTCCAGTTCTTTGTTGCTCAGTAATTGAGCCTGTTGTTTTTCTTTTGATGTCTGTAGTTGAATCTTTGTTTGGTGATCCCATTGCTAGTCCGTGGTTGAGTTTGTTGATAGCGGCATTTTGTGAACTCGTCAAGTTATTACTTATTGTTTCATTGTTACTGATTTTATCGATGTTGGAAATTCTTTATTTACTTTAGGTTATTTGTAGTAAGATGAGAGCTTGTGTAGACTCTAGCTGCAGAGAGAATTGCAGCATAAGAGGATATATCCTATATGATCTTTTTTTTATGTAGTTAGTTCTTATTGTTGTAATTGATATCTCTATAAGCATTCTCAAAGTAATTCTTCGATTTAATAGTAAAAGTGATATCAATCCTCATAATTCAATCTATTCTTCAAGGGTGTTAAGATTTTCACTTAGGTTTGATATTTAATAATGAGTTTGATTTCTCTCCAGCAGAAAATTTTGATGGAGTACTGTTGATTGAATTTCTGGATATTATCCTCATCTTCCAAGAGTTTGGATTATCCCTAGTGATTAATCCTTCAATTAGAATTAACTGCTTTTGCCACATTAGCAATTTAGATGACGTAATAAAAGTCTTACATAGTTTAGAGGCTTCAATGACCAAAGAGGTTATGTATTTGTTATAGAATATGAGAGTATTTCTTATCTACACTTTTTCCATATGAGAATATTTCTCGTCATAGGTATTGTTATAA